CAAAAAAAAAAAAAAAAAAAGAATAAAGATGATTTTAATGTGACTTTGCATTCTCAGAGTTTTTTTTTAATTTAATTAATTTATTTTTTTGAGACAGAGTCTCGCCCTGTCACCCAGGCTGGAGTGCAATGGCATGAACTTGGGTCACTGCAACCTCCACCTCCCATGTTCAAGTGATTCTCCTGCCACAGCCTCCTGAGTAGCTGGAATTACTATGCCCGGCTGATTTTTTGCCTCTTTAGTACAGACAGAGTTTCACCGTGTTGGCCAGGCTGGTCTTGAACTCCTAACCTGGTGATCCGGTAGCCTCGGCCTCCCAAAGTGCTGGGAATACAGACGTGAGCCACTGCGCCCAGCCTCTCAGAGTTTATTTTTAAAGGTGATTAAGGCCCTGAAGGATTGATAATGTGCCTGCTGGTTTGGAAAACCCTGAGCCTCAGTAAGTCCAGCTTTGATAGTGAAGTAGTCTAGGAATGCAGGCAGCAGTGAAGAGCTCTCAAGACAGCTGAGGACAGACAAGTAATGGGAATTCCTGCTTCCAGAGCCTTAAGTCAATGGGCTAAACTCCAAAGAGGCCAGAGTCACTGTGTAGTTTTTGGTTGCTTTATCTGTTGATATTAATATATGCTCACACTTTCCCATCTTTAGGGAATAAGATATAGTAGCTAGAATACATTTGTGGGTTTCTTTTCTGGGTAGCATCATACTTTAAAGAAAAAAAGTATAGTCGAGTCTATTTGCCAAAGAAATAAACTTGCAATACTTTAGCATGTAAGTTTCATAATAGCTTGCTATATGTTCCTTAACCCTCTAGGTGCTGAATATTTGGTTAGACAAAAGAAAAAGCTCAAGTGGTCTGGAAGGAGAACCAGCCAACCCCGTGGATGATGGAAAACCTGTTTTGTAACCCGGAGCTTCTATCCTGACTTTTCTAGAGTTTGAACCTCTCCCTGAACTCTGACCTAGAGAGGATCCCAGTACTTCTTTGCCATGTCTCTGTTGTCTTTTCCAATAAGAATAATGCCTAACTCACTCAATGATGCATGTGGACATAACATAAGGAAAAACAGGGGAAGCTGAGATTTTGGTTTAATGCCATAAATGTTGCGTACATCTTTGTTCCACGGGCTTGATTTAAAGACAATTAGATTAGATCTTTTACTAAGCCTTTACTCTAATAAATAAATGTCTTTTCACAAACAGAATATTGCTTTTTAATGACTAGGTAAGCTTGGCATACAGGTGACAGCATCATCCGGTGAAATGAAGGTATCTGACACGGGTCTTCTTACATACACTGCCTGGAAACGAATCGGGGAGGAGGGTTGGTCTTATCATTTATAAAGCAGGGATAATTGAAGAAAAGGATGAAATAACATAACTTATTAGTAAAATGTCAGAAAATATCTAGTGCCCTAAGATTCACAAGCAGAATAAAAATGACTACCTGGCTCGCTTTGGTTAAAACAACTTGCCAGAGGCGGCAAGGAGGCTCCTTGCTGGGATTGGCCCTCTGCAGCTACCGTCCCCACGCTGGGGCTTCAGGTCTCCTAGCAACAAGTTGAGCACACCAAGGCGGCCGCTGAGGTGAGTGATCAGAGAGGGTCAAATTCAGAATTTTCAGGTGCAACCCGGAAAGTCCCCGAGGACCCAGAGGCCCTGCTTTCCAATTAGGCCTGACTCTATGCACAGAGAGGTCCCTGCGGGACAGGGTTGCTTCACAGAGGCAGCCGGACGAGGCTGCTCACCCGCCGCTGTATTGGCGTGTGATGTTGCCACCAGCCCGCCGCCCCCTTCGAGCCCCCTCCCACCCTCTGCTGCCTGGGAGTGCCGCTGGTTCCGGGCCTTCGGGTCGCCCCTTGGCCTCTGGTCACGTGAGCCCAGTAGTCCTTCCCGCCTCGGTGACAGCGTGTACGAAGAGCCGGGGCTCGATCTGGACATAGTAGAAATCCTATTATTGAGACCCTGCGTATAGAAAAACATGGTAGTTTCTTACCTTCATTAGTTAATGAAATCTAGTACCTAATATTGCTATTCTTAATCACAATTACATTGAATTTGGGATTGGGGGGAAATCATGTCATTGCAGTTGACACCTGTTAAGAAAGTCTCAATTTGTGCCCTGAAAAGCCATAATGGAGATATCAATGCCTCCACCTCAGATATATGTAGAAAAAACTCTGGCCATTATCAAACCAGATATCGTTGACAAAGAGGAGGAGATACGAGATATTATTCTCAGATCTGGATTCACCATTGTTCAGGTAACTTCTGGGCATGATGATTCATGCTTTTTTCCTCTCTGCCCTTTAAAAAAAAATGCTTATGTAAATGTACCTACCCATTTAAACCGTTAGTGTTCGGCATTGCATTTAAGTTTCTTCTTCTAAGTATAAAAGTTTTATGTGATAGTTTTTAAAAGGATATAAAATGAGAAATAAAATTGACTTCTCCCTCACCTGTCCTCTCTCATTTCAAGTCCCAGGCTCCAGAGAGAGGCAACCACTTGACACTCTGTTCTTCCAGGAGTTTTCTATGCATTTATAAACGTTTTCACCCCATAAAACAGAGCAGTCCCTTTCCCTTGACCCCCTTTACAGAGTCCCTCAGATAGGATTCCAAATCATTACAGCTGAATTGATCTCACTCTTCCTAACTTCTGTGTAATATTTCCCTGTGTATCAGAACTACAGTTTATTTACTTGATCCTCTATTGATGGACTTTTAGACTACTAGTATTTTTTCAGTTACTACAAACATTTAATGTTTTAAGCCTTATATTTGTTCTGCAATTAGTAAACATTGTCATTCTAGGGATTTGAAAATGAATATAAATCGCATTGTTAAGGATTATCAAATTGAATATTTTAAATCTTCCTCTTTTATAGTATAATTTGAATTTCCAATTTTTTATTTTTTCACATTTATACAGTGTCATATTGCTTATTTAGTTTTTTTTTTTTTTTTTTTTGAGACAGAGTCTCATTCTGTCACCCAGGCTGGAGTACAGTGGCCTGATCTCGGCTTACTGCAACCTCCGCCTCCCGGGTTTTATTGATTCTCCTGCCTCAGCCTCCTGAATAGCTAGAATTACGGGCTTGTGCCACCATACCCGGCTAATTTTTGTATTTTTAGTAGACAGGGTTTCACCATCTTGGTCAGGCTGGTATCGAACTCCTGACCTCGTGATCCGCCCACCTCGGCCTCCCAAAGTGCTAGGATTACAGGCATGAGCTACCTTGCCCAGCCTTTAGTCAGTATTTTTAAAAATAAAGAGAAAACGGCCAGGCACAGTTGCTCACACCTATAATCCCAGCACTTTGGGTGGCTGAGGTGGATGGATCATAAGATCAGGAGTTCAAGACTAGACTGGCCAATATGGTGAAACGCCGTCTCTGCTAAAAATACAAAAATTATCTGGGCGTGGTGGCACATGCCTATAGTCCCAGCTACTCTGGAAGCTGAGGCAGGAGAATCGCTTGAACCCAGGAAGTGGAGGTTGCAGTGAGCTGAGATGGCACCACTGCATCCCAGCCTGGGCAATGGAGGGAGACTCCGTCTCAAAAAATAATAATAAATGAAATAAATAGAAAATATCAGTATTCAGAAAAGATATGGGATTTCAGTTGAGCTTCGAAGGACAGGTGGAGGCTGAGGGAAGCTGAGGGGACAAGAAAGTGTTAGGAAATATTTAATGTAATTAAAGACTCAGGTAAAGAACTTTTAGTAGATGTTAGGAAAACTGGTAGCCACTGAAAAAGTTGGATCAAGTATTATACACAAGGAAAAACTCCAAAGGGACCTGAGATCTAGAAGCCATGAAAGAAAAGATTGGTAAGATTATATAAACAAAAAATTTCTGCACAACAAAATAAATACTATAAGCAAAGTGAAATCATAACAAACGGGAAAAAGATTTGCAACTCATATCAGACAAAAGGCTAGTCCACCTAATATATAAAGAGCTCCTAGAAAAAGATAAAAATAAATCAGTAGAAAAATGGGCAGAAGAGATGGATGGTCACAGAAAAAGAAAAACAATTTTTAAATATATGGAAAGATTCTCAGTTTCTAGGTGGGAAAAAAAAAAAACTACACTGAGATTCCATTTGGCAAAAATATAAAAGTAAATGGCACAATCCCTATCGAAGGGAATCTGGCAGCTGTCTACCAATATAACAGATGGACTTACCATTTGATCAGCATTCTGCTCCTGAAAATCTGTCCTGTAGAATTCCTTGTGCTCTTACTACCTGTCATGCACAGAGCCGTGTTTAGTCCTGTCAGTAAGTTCTTGTATTAATATGAAGTAATATATATACAGGTTATTTTTTGCAGCATTGTTTACTTATCAGCAAAAGATTGAAAATAACCCAGACTGGGAGATTGGGAGACAGGACTAAATAAACCCTGGAAACTCCATCAAATTGCATAATATGCAACTAATTGTGAAAAGAAGAATGAGAAATCTGTCTGTACTGTTATGGAAAAAAGCAGTGTGTAGCAAAAAGAGCAAAACAGCAAAAAAGCAAAATCGTGTGTACCAACCTTTTGTGATAGAGACAAAGTAATATATTCCTGTTTGCCAATATTTGCAAAATGAAATTCTGGGAGAATAAATAAACATTTAAAAAGGGTTGCCTATTGAGGGCAAGGAAGAACTGGGTAGATGAGGACATGGATAGGAATAAGAGTTTTCAGTATATACCTTTATATATTGCTTTGAATTCTTGAATCCTGTAATTATATTACCCATTAACTTTAGAAAAAACAATTAAATGAAGTATACAAATAAAGGCATCCATTTAAGTTTTAAAAAAGTCCATATTAAAAAAATATTTAGTTGGCCGGGCAGGGTGGCTCAAGCCTGTAATCCCAGCACTGTGGGAGGCCGAGGCGGGTGGATCACGAGGTCAAGAGATCGAGACCATCCTGGTCAACATGGTGAAACCCCGTCTCTACTAAAAATACAAAAAATTAGCTGGGCATGGTGGCGCGTGCCTGTAATCCCAGCTACTCAGGAGGCTGAGGCAGGAGAATTGCCTGAACCCAGGAGAAGGAGGTTGCGGTGAGCCGAGATCGCACCATTGCACTCCAGCCTGGGTAACAAGAGTGAAACTCTGTCTCAAAAAAAAAAAAATATATATATATATATATATATTTAGTGATAATTAAGTGGCTAGTGTTAATTATAAATTAAAAATTAGCTGGCCGTGGTGGCTCACGCCTGTCGTCCCAACACTTTGGGAAGCTGAGGTGGGTGGATCACCTGAGTTCAGAAGTTCAAGACCACCCTGGCCAACGTGGTGAAACCCCGTCTCTACTAAAAATACAAAATTAGGAGGCTGGGTGCAGTGGCTCACGCCTGTAATCCCAGCACTTTGGGAGGCTGAGGTGGGCAGATCACCTGAGGTCAGGAGTTCGAGATCAACCTGATCAACATGGAGAAACTCCGTCTCTAAAATAAATAAATAAATAAAAATACAAAATTAGGGCCGGTCGAAATGGTTTACACCTGTAATACCAGCACTTTGGGAGGCTGAGGTGGACGGATCACCTGAGGTCAGGAGTTCGAGACCAGCCTGGCTAACATGGTGAAACCACATCTCTACTAAAATCACAATAATTAGCCGGGCATGGTGGTGGAAGCCTGTAATCCCAGCTACTGGGGAGAATGAGGCAGGAGAATGGCTTGAACTGAGGAGACAGAGCTTGAAGTGAGCCAAGATTGTGCCACTGCACAATCTTACCTGGGTGACAGAGCAAGACTCAGTCTCAAAAAAAAAGACTCTGTCTGAAAAAAAGAAAGAAAAATAAAAGGCTGGGCGTGACAGCTCATGCCTGTAATCCCAGCACTTAACGGAGGCTGAGGCAGGCAGATCACAAGGTCAGGAGATCAAGACCATCCTGGCCAACGTGGTGAAACCCCGTCGCTACTAAAAACACAAAAATTAGCTACCCGTGATGGCACACACCTGTAGTCCCAGCTACTCGGAAGGAGGCTGAGGTAGGAGAATCGCTTGAACCTGGGGGGCGGCGGAAGGGGGCAGTGGAGGTTGCAGTGAGCTAAGATCATGCCACTGCACTCTACCCTGGTAACAGCGAGACTGTCTCAAAACAACAACAACAACAACAACAAAACAAAATTAGCTGGGCGTGGTGGTGCATGCTTGTAATCCCAGCTACTCAGGAGGCAAGGCTGGTGAATCACTTGAACTCTGGAGGTGGAGGTTGCAGTGAGCTGAGATTGTGCCATTGCACTCCAGCCTGGGCAACAAAAGTGAAACTTTGCCTAAAAAAAAAAAAAAAAAAAATTAGTGTAACTAGCCTGGGCAATGCACTGAGACCAGAAAAAAAAAATTATTTAATGTAAATATATATGACACTTTTCCTAGTTAGTAATTTTCAGAACAAAGGCAGCCATGGTATATCCTTCTTTCCTTCCTTTTTTGCTTTAATTGTGGTAAAATGTATATAACATAAACTTTACCCTTTTAACCATTTTTGAATGTACATTTCAATTGTATTAAGTACATTCACATTGTTGTACAACCATCTCTACTGTCTATCTCTAGAACCTTTTCATCCTAAACTGAAACACTGTGCCTAATGCTAACTTGTTGCCTCCCTCTTCCCCATCCTGGATATCCACTATTCTACTTGCTGTCTCTAGGAATTTAACTATTCAAGCTATCTCATTTAAATGAAATTATACAAGTTTTGTCCTTTGCACTGTATGCTTTTAAAATAGGCTTGTAAGTGCATTAAACTTGAGGCTTTCCTGTCCCACCTAAGGGAAAAGCTGAAAAGTGATACATCATTTCAGTAGATGGCAGTGTTGCCTTTGTTACAAACAAGAGTTCTGTTCTGATAGTACTTGATATCGCTGTTTCTCCGTGTA